TCCATTTTCTTGAGACACGAACAACTTGAATCCAGAGAAACCAAGCATAATACTCATCAATCGTCACGGAGACCACCAAAAAAAAAGGAAGGGAAAGAACACTTTACAAACAAACTCGAGTTTCTACTTCCCTCCGCTCTCTTTCCAATAGTCTTGTTTCAGCATTTCGAGATATCACATTTCATACAACATGGCGATCACAACTGCCATCTCCGACCTCTTCAAGAGCTTCTACGAGCTCATCGCTTCGGTCCTGAGCGGCGCCTACGCCGTGGTAAATAGCACGGTCCAGGCCGTCCTTGGCTTCATCACCGGCCTGGTCACCTTGCTCGGCGACATCACTGGCGGAATCATTGATATGACCAGCGGGGTTGGCAAGTTTATCCTAGGTACGTGGGAAAAGAAACACCCCCCTGATGAACACCTCATCGGCATTCACTTTCTGTATATGAGAGACTAATTATATATTCTAGGAAATTTCGTCGTCGTGTCTATCGGAGCCCTAGCCGCTTTCGGGTACTTGCGATACACGGCCCAGGGACGACAACTCTTGGCAAACAAGAAAGCGACTCAGCCTGCCGTAGTCAAGAAGACAAACTAAGCAGCGAGCCCTTCCGAGTCTTGATGGATTGATATATACCCCTCTGCTTCAGTCTCACCGTCTTGGTTTCATGTTTGCACGAGTGTTTTTGGAGGGAGGAGGATAGGAGGATATTACCCAACTGAGAGAACGTCATGGTAGGAATCAGCTATGAACTATAGTCATTTTACTCTTGTTTTACCTATGTAGCTCTGATAAACGAATTTCATCTCAAATATACCATCACATTACATGGTCTTCTTCACCTCACCTGGCGATGACACAACCTCATCGGTGCCATGCAAGAAATCCAGAACCCCAATCCCGCCAAAGTACACGTTGAACCGCTCATGGTGGCGATCATGCTTGCGAGCCGCGCCGCGGAAGAAGTCATAGCCGCTGTGCACCGTCGCGGTCTCCAGCAGCTGCCAGGCCAGGAACGCCCACGTGGTGAGGATATGGGTTCGCAGCACGAGGGGCGGCAGGGCGATGGGCAGCATGTTGGCGACGACGTGCTCAACGGGATGCGCGTACTGCGAGGCGAAGGCGACGGGCGCGGTGAACCTGTGGTGGACCTTGTGGATGCGGGCGTAGAGGGAGCGGACGTGGAGGAGGCGGTGGGAGTAGTAGAAGAGGACCTCGCGGGCGAGAACACAGAGCATGAAGTCGCGGAGGAATTGGCTAGCGGGTGGCGGTGTCGCAGTTACCTGGAAGGTTGGGGGCAAGCCCTGCGACATGGCGAGGGCGGCTGAGACAACATGCAGGGCGAGAACGATGGTCTGGTTCCGTAGCGACACTACTGCTGCGTGCTGGACGTCGGCGATAGTTGGTTGTTTGGGAGCCGGCTGGATCTTGTGACGAGCTGAGAAGGACGGCCATAGATGGTCCAGCGATGCGAAGAGGAGACAGGGAATCCACCAGAAGATGATCTGGACGATGAGGGTGCCCACGATATCTATGAGATGGGGGTCATATCGGACGACTATTCGTTGCCAGATGGTATCCAGCGGCGCAGTGAGAACAGAGGCTGAGGAGCCAAGCAAAGCGCCTGGGCCCTTCGACTGGCCATGCATATCACCCATTTCGTGAGTGCCCAAGTCCTAGGTGAGGGCCCAACAAGTGATTTGACGTGAGGGGATTGACAGTGGTTTTCTCCACGTCGAACACATATTGCCACATGTTTGTCTTAGTCTCCTAGCCGAGGAGCCTAGGTTCAATGTTCCGATCGATCTGGGGTACACAACAGACGCTAGAGGCGGAAAGGAAGGATCACATTACCTCTGTCCATCCGGCTTGGACATCAATCCAATGCCCAACCCGCTCTCCTCCATTGACTTCTTTGGTTTTCACTCGTGTTGACACTCGTGTTGATGATGCGAGACACTGGGTGGAGACTCTGCACAGTCGGTGCTCGTTGTATTCGAGAAAAATTGACAAGTCTACGTTGCATGAGTACCGAACCGCGAAGATCCGGACACGTATGCACGATGTGGCGAGCTGACAATGCGAGTAGCCAGTTTACCAAACGTTAGTGGTGGTGACCTTCATCTACAAGTTGTGACAAGTCAGGTATTCTGAGGTTGTGGGTTCTCGAAACAAGGTGCGAGTCCAGTGCTGTTGCTATTAATATCCATCATACAGCGATCACTCTAGGTAGCAAACTGATATGTGCTCTATCGTAGGCATCTCACCGAGACAGTCAGACAAATAGATCATGAGGAGAAAAGACAAAACCCGCATTCTGGTACGTGAGGTAGACAATGTCTTAGATTATCGGGTCAAAGAGCTGCCATGCTGACAAGCACGACGCCACAGATACTCCATCCAACTCCCGAGGCATCGAGATCTCATGTGATTATTCGCCATATTAGGTATATCACATTCTAGGACTTGTAAAAGCTAGGCAGTTGATAACACCAGATATTTGTCAAAATTCCAGAGTTTGATTAGGCTCCTTGGACACGGTCCTTAAAAAACCTTGTACATCCCGATGGTTGTAGATGTAAGTGGTGGTGGCGATGGCCCCCTGGCTAATGGGAGACGAAAGCTGCCAAGCTCACTTCTGCCCAAGTCCAAAAGAGAGAAATGTTCTTGCGATCGGCTTCAATAATTGCCGAGTATTCACATGTGGGCCGGCCACTAACAGCCAGGGACAAGTCATAGCCCGCACAGAACGGGCCGCAGATGGATGGTCTTTATGCTAGCCGAGTTGATGGAGAATTTCATGCGTGTCACAGCGTCAGTAAGAGACTTGTCACAAGTTCATGCTCGGCGACCAAGACAACCCCAAGAAAAACGGCGCAGCCAGACCAATCATCCAAGCATTGGGACGACTAGCCCAGGCACCTTGGAAGAGTTTGCTCCTCCTACCCCGTGTCGGCACTTGCTCCCATCGAATGAACAGAGAGAAGCAAATGGATTTTATGCGCTCCGCACGTCATTGCCGAGTTGGCACCAGACACTTCCTTGGCACCCGGCGGATTGGGGAAAGCTCGGGGTCCGCCAGCCAAACAGAGGCAGCCAGATATTCTGTGTGCCCGGTCGGACGGTGAACACGGCGAGGATGGCCAACGGCGGGTTAACAGAGGCACATATTGCATTAATAAGAGAGCAAAGTCAGTCCCCAGTGACGTTGGGGCGACAGTAGCAAGATGGTCGTCTCCGCTCCTGATCTGGATTTGATCAAAAAGGCCAATAATCTTCCCACATACTGTAGCAGCCAGGCACCCATGGGGGCAAATAGGGCTCTCTTCAATGTGACACCTCGTAATGGCCCAGACAGGGACGAAGGCAAGAGGGTAGCAAGGCCCATTGATGATCTCGGAAGACTAGATGCCTGGTCAGAAAGGGAGAGATGGCCAAACCTGGTGGGGGGAGAAGGAGGCGGGGCAGATGCCCGAGGGAATCAATGCATCACCAGTGTATCGAGAAGGAGGTGTGATTCTTGCTGTCGTGCCAGCCTCATTAGCGCTCAACTTAGACGTGCTTTGGGCCCAGATATGGCATCCCAATGCAAGGCCAGACAGGGCTCAGGTTGGCTAGAACTTTGCGTTATCCCGTACTGGGCTGTCAAGAACTGGGATCAGCCTTGGAGAGTGGCTGCTGATTAGCGTCCTTTAGTAACGATGGAGGCTTGCGGTCATTGCAGGTGTGGGTGAGACGAGCTGTGCGAGTCAATCGAAAACAAGCAGGCTGCGTGTAGAAAGGCGAAGGAGGCACGGAAACCAACTCGGCACGGTGGTAATACAAACAGCTCCTGGTTGGCCCAGTCCGGCGTCTTCTGAGGCGCATTCTCGAACCCAGGATTCCCCTCAAAACCTCGCCCAAACAGCCGCCTGCAGGGGGCTGGATCTCGGGAACCACCAGACAGCTTCCATTTGATGTTGGCATGCGTTATGTAACTGGAGGTACTTTTTCGAATCTGCCAATGAAGCGACGGAGACTGGCACTACTGTACGCACAACCGCCCTTGTCCCGGTCGGCTGCCTTCGAAATTGATTCCATGATCCACAGGTTGGGCGTCGATACGGTGAAATCGCACCGCCGGAGCTGCGCTGCAACGCTCAGCAGCACCGTTGTGTAGGAAGGTTTTTTAGCGGCGTTGGGCGGCTTTGTCCATCATTTCTGCCCAGCGAACCGCAGTCTCCATCGCCATGGCGCAGGCAAAACTCAAACCGCTCTTGTTGCTTAACGCTCCCATTGTTCTTATATAGGAGGAGCTGTCGCGGGGTTGCCTTGCTCCTATCTTCCTGTTCTTCGTTCCAAGCTCGCCCGCCATCGCCGCAGCAGAATCAAGACGGCTACTCTACTTAGGTGTCTAGACACACATACGGTCTTCACCTCCATCGTCGGTGTGCATCCAACCAACCGCCGACGCCACAGCACTGCTCTGCTCTGCTCAGCTTTGCGCATTGCTTGGCCAACTGTCACACGGACGCATCGCGCAGTACCTACATACAGATAGGCTGCACACCATACCAGATCATAGTGCCTCGCCTCCCCCCCCTACCTTAGCCTGCCGACCCTGGCCCCGGCTATTCCCACTTGACCGCACCATCAAGGAAACTTGGAACTTGCGCTGCGCCTGAGTCTGGAGTGGGGTTTCTCCTCGCATCACACGTCATCGCTCATCAGCTGGTTCAAGCACGCTGCCGGTCCCGTCTCAAGTGGGCGTTCCTGACCCTCAAAGACTACCAAAGAGCCGCTCCCGTGCTCCTCCTTTATTCATCATCCGCCAGCTCTTCCACAACCTCCTCTTCAGCATCTTTCCCTCCCGGCTACGACCCCTTTCTCCTAGTTTCATCCACACCAAAACATTGCCTGCCTGCCTTGCCCTTAGTCTCAGGCCCAGAGCAACCTGAATTGGGGCTTTGAGCACAATCAACGAGTACACTATCAGAATCTTCACACATACGTCATCATGTCAACCCGCTGGGACCGTGATCGGATGGACTACGAGGCTGCCCGCGCAGAGCGTGGCCGCTTCGAGGACAGATATCAAATGCGCGGCGGAAATGGCCGCGATCACTCAGACGAGCGCTACGACCGTCGCTATCACAGAGGGTACAACGACGACGCCGTGCGAGATCGCAGATACTATGGTGAAGAGCCGCCATACGCCCCCCGTCGGGAACAGCCACCGCCTCGCCCAGACTATGACCGCCGCCCACCAGTAATGGAGAGAGAGCCCAGAGAGCCCAGAGAGCCCGAGAGGGATTACCCCTCTCGCCGCCCAGCTTTCCTCCGCCGCCAGTCATCTCTAGACACTTTCGACCGCCATCCTTTGCGCTTCTATGATCGAGAGGAATATCCGCCCCCCGCCCGTAGGGAGGACATCCATCGAGATCCACACTACCGAGCTCCTGCCTACACAGACATTCCCCTCCCCAAGACTCGAAGCAAGGCTCTCCCCCCACCCAGGAGGTACAACGACCAACACTACAATGACATCAAGATTGCCGAACCCGACTACTTCGGAGACGAGGATTTCCGTCCTTATCCGGACCAGAGAGTTCATGAGCGAGAGATGGTACGGCATCACAAGAGACGAGATAGCTTCGGCTCCTCTTCAAGGTCGACTCGTACCCGCACCCGACGCGGCAGTTCCCCTTCATCCGCCACCTCGAGCCGGTCTTCCAGCAGCAGCGGAGGCACCACGATCAAGAGCGAGTATCCTAAGAAGGGAAAGACTCGCATCCCCGCTCGATTGGTATCGAAGCGTGCTCTCATCGATCTTGGATACCCGTTCCTTGAGGAGGTAAGCAAATAACCCGCCTTTAGTCAACAGTTGAAGATCTCCTTACTAACGTATCCAAAGGGTAATACTGTTATTGTCCAGAAAGCCCTTGGACAAGCAAACATTGATGAGCTTCTAAAGCTCAGTGAGGAGTACAAAAAGAGTAAGGACACATTTGTGCCTACATCCCTATATCCCAGACTGACATGCAATCAATCAGGCGAAATGGAAGTTGCTGCAGCACGTTCGCTAGCAGGAGATCTTGCCGAGGAGCGAAAGGCTGAGAAGGCAGCCGAGAAGGCAGCTCTCCCTGCCCCACCTCCTGCTCCTACCGCTGCTCCTGCTGCTGCTCCTGCTCCTACTGCTGCTCCTGCTGCTCCTGCTCTTGCTCCTGCGCCAGTTTATGCTCCTGTGCCAGCTCCCGGCCCCGGTCCAGCGTATGCTCCAGCTCCAGCTCCTCCCCAGGCTGCAGCTCCACCACCTGCTGTTACGAGAGCGCCACCTCCAGCCCCGGCTCCTCCTAGAGCCGCCGCACCGGGTCCTGCGGTTGTGCAGGCTCCTGCTCCGGTCATCATCGATGCCTCTCCTCATAGATCTCGATCTCGCTCTACCAGCACGAGCTCTAGCGGCAGCAGCCGCCACCACCACCATCACCACGCGGGGCCTGTGGCTATCATAGATAGATCCCGTTCGCGGTCCAAGTCTAGGAGCAACCGAGAGATTCGGGCCGAGATCCGTGCCCTGGAGCGTGAGCTTGTGCACCGCCCCAAGGACATTGGGCCAATAAGAGGCAGGGAGGTCGTTCACGCTGAACGCCTACCCGATGGTCAGCTTGTTGTGTATGAAGAAGAGGTGGAGAAAGTAATCCACCACCATAAGCCTCCTCGCATTGAGAAGGACAAGAAGGGTCGGTTAAGTCTCAGTGTACCCCTTCGTCGATAAAATACTTCCCGGACAAGCGGCTGACTTGGGCTGCGCAGGACCTTCACCAGGACTCATGCGAGCAATGTTTGCTACCCTAACTTAACGACATATTAATTACTCCTCATGTGGCGTTTCTTATTGTCCTTCTTTAACGGCCTCGGATTTACGATCTTTCAGCATATCTCTTTCTATTCTCACAGCAAGCGAAGTTACAAGGCGAATCAGAAAATCAACAAATAGATGGGGATTGGGATTACTACTTTCATGGCGCATAAATTTTTTTATTTTGGGAAGCCTCTGGGAATGGAGGGTCGAGTGAGACATATACTCGTTTTGTAACTTTTATCTGCAGTATTGTTTTGGGACGGATGAGATATGATTCTGAAGAAACTCAACATGTTATTACGATCAGACTGGATTCTACTTGTTCATAACGCACACATAAGGCTAATAAGATTCGATTCGTATTCGTTTTATCGATCTCAGTCAGGCTGTGGCAAAGAAGCTCACATGATGCGCAGTATCTGCCAACGTGGAGAACTCCAAGACACTGACTTCAAACAAGACCAAACGAGACCACAGTCTCGAGACAGTTGTTGAGGACCCTGGAATAAAAGGTCCAGACTGACACAAAAGCTGAATAAATTGCTCACCTCTTGGTCCATCATGTCGCAGTTGGCGGCCGGCTTGTATGCAGGGAATGTCATTCATGGAAATGTAAAAATGGCCTTTCTCCCCCCAAAGTTCCGTTTCTTTCAAATCAATCTCATCATAGTTTTTAATAGAAGGAAATGTTACTTTCCTTCCTTCGCCATATGCAGGTCCGTAAGGGTTCGGCCCGCGGGAGCCCCCATGCCTTTATTTTTACCTTCCTTGTCCTCTTCCTCGCGTTTCATCCTGCACACTGCAGGCCCGGTTCCGACGCCACCTTGAAACGCGACACGGCCAGCGGTGACCAGGAGCGCGGCATCGGCCCAGCTGCCATGCCTGAGCAGAGCGACGACGTCGCGGCCGAGAGCCCCATCCCGGGGCTCGAGGTCTCCCTGACCCAGGTCAAGGCGTCCTCCCCGCCGGTCGTCACCGTGACCGTGACGAACAGGAACAGGTTCGCGGTGACGCTGCTGACGTACGACTCGCCGGTCGACAGGGCGGCTCTGAAGCTGGGCATCGTGCTCGTGACGCCGGAGGGGGCCAGCGCGCCCCTGGAGCTGCCGCGGATCCAGTTCCGGCGGGTCTGGCCGCCTGGGCCGGGGCAGCTCGTCACGCTCGCGCCGGCGGGTGAGGCGGGCAGCCGGACGAGGAGCGAGATTGAGTTTGACGACGGGGCTTTGGATCCGGCGCAGCTGGGGGGGGCCAAGGTGGTGGTGAAGGGGAGGTGGAAGGCGGTTTGGAAGATGGCCAAGGAGGATATTGGGCAGGCGTCGCTGGATGATCCGGATGGGAATCCGGATGCGTTCCAGGGCGATTTCCAGAGCGATGAGCTGGAGATTGTTGTTTAGTGGGGGTTTATGTGTGGTTGAGGGTTGCTGGTATGTCTGGGATGTGGAAGTTAGTGAGATGAGGTATGATGAAAGTAAAAGATGCGATGATTTATAGAAAGTCCCTCAACTATTAAGTTTCCAATAACTTTCTACATGAAGCTCAGTGTACCGTGATTAACATGAATCTATATTTTCATCCCCGAATCAAGGTAATTCCGTTCGTCAATTCTATGCCATGCAACCATCTTTTGAGAGAAGCTGAGAGCTATTGCTCGCTGTCTTCCATCACTTCATCTGAATCCGAATCCAGATCAATTTCCCAGTCCTCATCCATGAAATGGTCGGAATAATTACCCACGATAAACGAATTATCGGATTCTCCTTCTGTGTCGGTATCAACCTCGGGGTCTGCCAGATCACTTTCATCACTAGAAATAATGATCAGATCATCAGGACCTAGAAGCTTAGCCTTGTCGAGGTTGCTGGTATTTCGGGTCTGCCTCGTTTCCTGCCTTGTTTTGGTTCCTGTCACAGGTTCCGAAGGCACTGTCTCCTTCTTCCTAATCCGTTTCCTGTTCTGCCCCCGTGAAGGATCTCTTGCAGTGAGTTGGCCGTTATTGGCGTGTGTGCATGGTTTTGCATCCGTGGTGCATTGTTCCTCTACATCCTTTCGTTTAAGAAGATCAGCGGCAGATCTTCGAGCTCGCCGCGAAATTCTCGTATTACCTTGGTTGGTTCGGCCTGATCCTCGCGTTGCCGATATAGATGCCTCGTTAATGTGGGCAGCATCGCTCTCGGCTCTTCCCCCCCATTCGCCGCAAATTTGTTTAAGCTTGGGAGCAATATCGTTCCTCGCTAATCCTCGTGACTTTTCCTTCTGTTTGAGAAGACTGTCATACTCGGTGTGATTGTGCCTGATGTGCGCGATGACAGCGAGCCTTGCCTTGGCCTCGACCGTTAACTTTGCCGTCCGGCCAACTCTCCCACTTCGCTTCTTAAGCGCTCGGTCTAGGACTTTTTCCAGATCGTGTGGAGGGATTCTGGGAAACACACGTAGAACCGCGACCTCGAAATCTGACCGCGTTGCAACGTCCCGTTTCTCTACAGCCGCGCGACGATCCCCTCTCGTCGCGCGGTCCTTTTCGTGCACCTCGTTGATTATGTGTTTCGGCGCCCTGATGCCGACCGCTCCTCGTCTCTTATTGACAACGACGTACACCTGCCTCCCTGCCGCTTGGGTTAGCCGGCGACACAGTCCAGTGCGGTATGGGTCCCCCTTGGGTAGAAACCCATACCCTTTTGGCATGGCAGCGCTTGAGGGGACCTTCGGCTCGGATTCCACCATTGTGTCTGTGTTTGTGGCGGAGGACTGTCACGTGTGTTGGTCAACAGGGCTGTTGTGATGCATTTTGAGTCTGAGCTCAGCTAAAGCTCAGCCCAAGACTGAGGTTCAATATGGCGCGACTGGAGACGCTGGTGCGGGATCGCAGATAGGGAATTATATCTGCATGAGAGATATTGATGTGTTGCGATTATTTGATTAGTGAAGTCCGATGTTGAGATGGAGAGATGGAAAGAAAGAAGGCATGTTGTTTTGCTGAGGAAGATGTGACACGGGTGAGGTGCGCCTACCCTGTATCACGATGTCTGCGAAGAATCTGAACACAACCATAGATCTTGAAATAAAAGATGAGGAGTCTGGGCTTTTAGGGGGCTCAGATAAAATTTATTTATCTTGTTGGGTTTCATTGATTGAGATAGGCACTCAAACAATCACTAGCCCGTCTCCTAGATTTAATCTATTCGTGACCGCAGAGTTAGAGATGAGCATACCATATGACATTAATTTCCGAGAGAGAACAAACATAGAAAACTCAAAGAACGCACCATGAAGAGTTTTATCAAGCAGGACATTTTCTGTCGTCAATGGGAGCTTGAAATTATTTACATAACACGATAAAAGAGAAAATACCAAACATTCTTTACTGGGGTCGGCACTCTGACCTCTGACGAAGAAACCGATACATCAATGCCACGACACTAATACAACACAACCTACAAATAAATATAGATCTCAAAAGATGAACACTGACCCCCGATACTGGTGCAAAAAAGGTCTTGTTTAGTCATGTCCTATCTGCATAACATCGACATCATTGGGATAGGCAGAGTAGGGCCAGCATTGTCACAGCTGTGTCTTGGTCACCACACCGGTTTACTGATCATGATGTGTGTTTTCTTCAATTATAGCATTGAATCATATACGAAGGCTGCGTTGTACGGACACGGCATGTGGTCAGTTAAGTATGAATGGTGGCTTCCGTTCATCTGCTCTGTTCAACCACAAGGCTCAGAACGAGTCCCTGTTCAAAGCTGAGGACCTTGGTGGGCCTGAAAGCAAAAAGGGGCCTTTTCCATGCGCCTCATAATCCCCTTTTTACATACGCTGTCGTCGCTGACCCCGGGGATTCATATTGTCCGCTTAGTTATCATTCCAGTGACCCAGTTTCAACAAGCCTTGGCTGAGACAACGACAGAATTGATGAATCCAGAGATACCTCACATTTGGAATGTTCGAATCCAGTGTGCTGGGAGATATCGCCGGAAAGAATAATAATTCAATAGTCGGCAATGTGACATACACATCTATGGTTTGTATCTAGGGCTGAGCTGGCCCTTACCAAGCGACGTACACCGAGCGCTTTAACACCGCCAAGGGCGTACTGGCAACCCCTTTTCAACTGTAATATAACTTGACCTGATCTCACCGAAGAGATCATCTAGGAATACGCTCTAAACCCTGCCGTATTGGCAATAGCTTCTCAATGTGCTAAGGTGATCTGGACTCTAGGGCGAAGCTGTTAAGTCCGGGTGGGCCCGGTACTTGTTGCGGCTGTGCCCGAGGCTGTTGGTTCTAGGCAGGCAGCTGGAGAAGACCATTTCCATTGTGTACTATGTAGAAAGTGTTATTTTAACAACACCCTGTCAGCGAATTGCCCTTTGGTGAGGCATATTTTTTTTTATTCCTGCCCGCGTACAGCGCATCTGACGTGTCAACGCAGCAAGTCAGGTACCAAGCCAGTCGAGGCGTGGCTGTTGTTAATGATGCAATTCCGCTTGCAATTGCTGTTGTCCGCGTCATGTATGGGGAACTGTTCGTCTGCCGCAGTGTCGGGATCTTAACTCGACCCGAGAGCACGTCCGGGGCTGCAAACTTTCGGCATGACACCGAGGAGATTTGTCAGGACGTGCTCAGGACGGATCCGTAGCCTGCCGGGGGTCCTGTTATCTGACAAGTGCACGGCTCTGATTTTGAGGACTGGAAACATTGGAGGCAAACGCTTATTGCAGGGCTACTGGTGCTGATCCGTGTAATTGGCTACAATGGTACTAGTTGGGGTGAAGAACGTGGGCGCTGCTAGTCAGTTCCAAACTTACGCACGATGCATTGTCGTGAACGGGATACAGGTGGGTTTTTCCCCCGTATGGCCACCGCTAATGCGAGTCCATCACCAACTTGCGCAAACGTCCTCGTTAGGCTTTTTGGCAATGTGACAGAAGTGAGCCAATCAACCAATGTGAATGTTCCGCCGGCTGAGTCTCGCCGAATGTACAATCGTGAGGGTGTGAAGGCGTGCTGACCACCTTTAGTCTGTTAGGCAGAAAGACAGATAACCACGTCGTACTCCGTATCTTGAGGATCGACCAGCTGGAGCGCCGTGGAAATCTTCTTGATGTCGCAAACTGCGGAGTCACACCCATCACAGAAGGGCTGCGGAGTGGGGTGGCGGATTTTGCGGACAATTGGTTTTTTCCACGCTCCAGTGACAGGTATTGGACAGTGCTAGTCGTACGTGCTAAGAGATGGCTCAATTCGGACTTCAATGCATCCCTAATATTAAAGTTTTTTGGAGCCAAGAAGGGTCGTTTATGTGGAGTCGGCCCAGCAAAATGGAATGGACTGCCGTCTAGGCGCTACGATTGGTCGCGGGCCAGATGTGGGATATGTAGCGAGATCTCCAATCCGACGGAATGCGACGGGCACTGGCCCATGGCGAGACCCTGACGCTGGATCGATCTGAGATACCACCCATTGTCCCGACATGATGCCCTGCAACGTTGCCACGAGTCCTCAATGCACGATAGTTATATTTGTGAGCAGAGGACGGGCACGGCATGCCCTCAAGTACATGGCCGTCTCGGTCTCTGATTTTGAGGTGCAGTTGCATGGTGTCGTGTCGGGGATGGAGACGACTTGGGATGTCTGTCCTGACTCAGAGAGCCAGATCACCACGCTTTGTGAGCGTCATACAGCTTTGAAGCTGAGACCTAGATATGACCAATGTCTGAAATTCCGGGCGGGCTTCTGAAACAGAGTTGTGGTCTACCCTGGCCCAAACCAAACCCACGATGGCGGACTTGGAGGCGCAAGGGGTGAGGGTGCTGGAAGAGCCGGAGAGGCAATTGTTTCGGCACTGTTGTGTTGATGGTACAGGCTGCGCCGCTGTGCGTATTTGCCGTGCATGGTGATAATCGACACGACGCTTGCTGCTGTGCCCAGGCAAATTCAATCCTTACTTTGGTTGCCATCAGAATTTCAGTGGGGGTGGATGGCGGCGGGCTGTCGGGTTCTTTGAAGACCCCGAAATGACGGGCCCTGGTCCCTTGTCTAGCGTAGAATATTGGAAGAGGCAAGATTCTAAACAAACAAGTCGTTTCACAGCTGTAGGTATTCTAGTCATCTTGAGAGAAAGAATGGAAAGACGAATCATTTGGAAACTGAAATGGTTTGCTCAGGTGCTAGAGACGCGGTTCAGGAGCATTCGTATCGGGTGTTGAAACCATTCGAGTAAGTGTTGCACCACTGGAAAAGGCATCTCATCGCCCATGGTGCCTTCCATTGATGTTACAGGGTTCGCTGTTCGCAGCCTGTAGGCGGCCGCCCGGCCCGGACGGTGGGCGGGGTGAAGCCTACCAGGTGTGGCCGTGTGCGCGCGCGTATAAGCGGTACTCCGACGCTTCTGCAGGCAAGGCAAGACACAGGCACAGGTAGAGGCACGACGGGAACGGCCAATGGCTACCGAGTCGGTCTCTGGAGAGATCTCAAATGCAACGCCGTGGGGGTCGATGGGCTGGAACCACCCGTTGCGATTAGATGGACGCAATTTCTGGTCTAGACATGACATGTGCTGTGCAGTATGCGCTGGGCGGTTGTTTTCCAATCGCACTTTGGTGGACAAGCACCATGGCTGGAGGAATGCCCCCATATTACAGGCAATTGCTCACTGAAGCACTGCACGTTAGGGAGATTGCTCATTCTGAGGTGATGACGCTTTTGATCCTAATCGGGAGGGTGTGAGGCTGACAGGGATTGGCTGGTTCGCTTTCGTATGGCAGCCGGCAGGCGTTAGCACCATCAATCCATCTGGACAACGGTGTGTGCGTGCGCGCTCGTTGTCAGAGCACTAGCGGCGGACCCAGTGGCAGATTTGCCTGCTTGGCGGACGGTCGGGTTGCAAGTAGAGTGCGAAAGTTGGCTCCGATCATTTCGTCCGCCCCCGGAGTGCTCCACGGCTGCCTGCTTCCTGGCCCATCCCATGCTTGGCTTCTGCAGTTCCGCAATCTGATCTTACGGCGCCATTGCCCTTGGTACATCGATTCGGGTTCCTTTTGGTCCCCTTTCGGGGGTTTCCCACCCGCGAGGTACCTCCTTCCTCCTAAAAGTCTCCATTGCAGTCCCTGTCCGCCGTTTCCAGCAGTCGAGGTACATGGCATTGACCCACGAGTACTCGCGCCTTGTCAACCCCGAGCCCGTGTTTTATCTCAATCGCCCTCTTCCCCTTGAATATTCTTTTTTATTATTATACGCCTCCCCGCCCTCGTTTCCTAAACTTTATTCTTCTCTCCAAACCTTGACCCCTCTTCATTCCTTACTTTATTCTCTTCTCACACTCTCTACACACCTCCAAACCCCTCCCCCCTTCTTACACGATAGGTGAAGAGTGGGCTGGCTAATTGACCTAGAGCCACCACCCATTGACCATCCCACCTCTAGAGCTCCTTTAATACGGTAGCAAACTCGGCCCCTCGAGGCGCGAGATCAAATATAGCCACAATGGCCGCTCCTACCAGCGAAGCGGTTCCTGTGAAGGAAACCCCCACAGCAGAAATCAAAGAAACAACACCCGACTCGGCTACCGAAACGACCACCAAGGAAGAGCCGCCCAAGACCCCCAAGAACAAGGAAGATATCGAGGAAGTAGAGTCATCATCGCCAGCAGAGACTCTTGGAAAAGGCGCGGATGATGAAGAGGAGGACGAGATTGTCGAAATGCGACGCCGCAGCTCCGTTGTCCAGGCGTTAGCAAAGTCGTACTCGCGTGTTTCTGGCCCCGCTGGAGGCAACCCTTTCCTTGCTGGAAAGGACTCGCCCTTGAACCCCAACTCCGAGAACTTTGACGGAAAGGAATGGGCCAAGGCGATTGTCGAGCTGGTCCAGCAGGATGGCGCTGCGTTCCGATCGACGGGTGTCTGTTTCCAGCATCTTAACGTTCATGGATACGGCGAGTCTTCCGATTACCAGAAGGACGTGGCCAATGTGTGGTTGTCCCTTGCCGGTATGGCCCGTGGTGCCGTTGGAAGCTCCAGCCGCCAGCGAATCAACATCCTCCAGAATTTCGACGGGCTCGTTCGCAATGGTGAGATGTTGGTTGTTCTGGGACCTCCTGGTTCTGGATGCTCCACCTTCCTGAAGACCATTGCCGGTGAATTGAACGGTATCTACGTCGACGACGGAGCTTACTTCAATTATCAGGGTAAGTTTAAATCTGCTTAGAGTTTGATGTGATGAGACGATCACCGCGGGGCTGAGACTGGCGGATTGTTTGTTCTACACCGAGTTGGGAGCTCGTGTGGGACAAGGTGTCAGACATTTCATGTCTCGCAGGCGATCGTCGCAAGGCTGCTGAGGACTCAGATTGGCTAGAATACGATGCTAACATCATACAGGAATGACTGCTAAGGAAATGCACTCCCACCACCGTGGTGAAGCCATCTACACAGCTGAGGTCGATGTCCACTTCCCTCAGCTTTCCGTTGGTGATACTCTGACCTTCGCTGCCAGAGCGCGCCAACCCCGTAAGCTTCCCCAGGGTCTGAACCGCAACGAGTTTGCCGACCATCTCCGTGATGTCGTCATGGCTATGTTTGGTATCACTCACACAATGAACACCAATGTCGGAAATGAGTTTATTCGTGGTGTTTCTGGTGGTGAGCGTAAGCGTGTCACCATTTCCGAGGCTGCACTATCAGGTGCACCTCTCCAATGCTGGGATAACTCGACTCGAGGTCTTGACTCTGCCAACGCCATTGAGTTCTGTAAGACTCTTCGACTCCAGTCCGAACTTTTCCGTAGCACTGCCTGTGTTTCGATTTACCAAGCGCCCCAGTCTGCTTACGACTGCTTCGACAAGGCTACTGTTCTCTATGAGGGTCGTCAAATCTTCTTCGGCCGCGCTGATGAGGCTAAGCAGTATTTCGTCGACCTTGGTTTCGAGTGTCCTCCTCGCCAGACAGTACCCGATTTCCTCACCTCGATGACATCCCCTCAGGAGCGCATTGTCCGTAAGGGCTTTGAGGGCAAGGCTCCTCGCACCCCTGACGAGTTTGCTGAGGCATGGAAGAACAGCGCCAACTACAAGGCCCTCCAGGCCGAGATTGAGGAATACAAGACCGCTCATCCCATCAACGGTCCTGATGCCGAGGTTTTCCGTGCCCACAAGCATGCTCAGCAACACAAGGGCCAACGTGCCAAGTCCCCTTACACTCTGTCTTTCAACCAACAGGTTCAACTTTGCCTGTGGCGAGGCTGGAAGCGTCTTATGGGTGACCCTAGTCTCAGTATTGGTGCTCTCATCGGAAACTCTGCTGTCGCTCTCATCATTGGTAGTGTGTTCTTCAATCTGAAGGACGACTCGAACAGTTTTTTCCAACGTGGTGCTCTTATTTTCTTCGCTTGTCTTAGTAACGCCTTTGCAAGTGCGCTCGAGGTAAGTGGCGGAGTTTCAACATGTTTTGTCCCGATGAACTCGAACTGACACTTGCTAGATTTTGATCCTTTATGCTCAGAGACCCATTGTCGAGAAGCACTCCCGATATGCCCTCTACCACCCTTCTGCTGAAAGTGTCGCCTCCATGCTGTGCGATATCCCTTACAAGGTATCGAACACGCTGGTATTCAACATCATTCTCTATTTCATGACGAACCTGAGACGTGATGCTGGTCACTTCTTCTTCTTCCTTCTGATCTCCTTCTTCACGGTCATGTCCATGTCTATGATTTTCCGAACCATCGCCTCATCGTCTCGAACTCTGTTCCAAGCACTTGTCCCAGCTGCTATCTTGATTTTGGACTTGGTCATTTTCACTGGATTCGTCATTCCGAAGCGGTACATGCTTAGGTGGTGCTTTTGGCTCACGTACATTGACCCACTTGCGTATGCGTTCGAAGCTCTCATGGTGAACGAATTTCACGGCCGTCGATTCGATTGCAAGACATTCACGCCAAGCGGCTCAAACTACATGAATGCTACCGGTGCCGCCCGTGTCTGCAGCTCCGTCGGTGCCCAGCCTGGTGACGACTTCGTGGATGGCGACATCTATGCTTATTCGCAGTACGAGTACCAGTGGAATCACCGATGGAGAAACTTCGGCATCATGATTGCTTTCATGCTTTTCTTCTTGGCCACTCACATGATTGGTGCGGAGCTTGTTTCTGAGAAGAAGTCCAAGGGTGAAGTCCTGGTCTACCGTCGCGGTTACAAGCCTGCAGCGGCTGCTCTTGGCGAGAAGAAACACTCAGACCCTGAGGCAGCCATGGCACACATTGGACCCGTCGCGACGAACCGTAGCCGCGCTGAGAAGGATGGCAAGGGTGCTGGTCTACTCCAGGAGCAGAAGTCTGTTTTCCAGTGGCATGACGTGTGCTATGATGTCAAGATTAAGAACGAGACTCGCCGCATTCTTGACCATGTTGATGGTTACGTCAAGCCCGGTACTCTGACCGCCCTTATGGGTGTTTCTGGTGCTGGTAAGACGACTCTTCTGGACTGTTTGGCTGATCGAACCAAGGTTGGCGTCATCACTGGTGAGATGCTTGTTGACGGTGCACCCCGTGATCAATCCTTCCAGCGCAAGACGGGTTATGTCCAGCAACAGGATCTTCATTTGCAAACCTCTACTGTCCGCGAGGCTCTACGATTCAGTGCTCTTCTTCGCCAGCCTGCTCACGTTCCTAAGGAAGAAAAGCTCGAATACGTTGAGGAGGTTATCAAACTGCTGGATATGGAAGAATATGCTGGTGCTATCGTCGGTGTCCCAGGTGAAGGTCTGAATGTCGAACAGCGAAAGCGGTTGACTATTGGTGTTGAGCTTGCTGCTAAGCCTCCCCTGCTGCTCTTCGTTGATGAACCTACCTCCGGTCTTGATTCTCAGACATCTTGGGCTATTTTGGATCTCTTGGAGAAGTTGACCAACGCTGGCCAGGCTATTCTCTGCACTATTCATCAACCTTCTGCTATGCTCTTCCAACGCTTCGATCGACTTCTCTTCCTTGCCAAGGGTGGCAAGACTGTTTACTTTGGTGACATCGGCAAGAACTCCTCAACTCTTACAAACTACTTCGAGCGCAATGGAGGCCACGCTTGCCCCCCTGATGCTAACCCCGCTGAATGGATGCTGGAAGTCATTGGTGCTGCCCCTGGATCACACACTGATGTTGACTGGTTTAAGACGTGGCGTGAGAGTGCCGAATATACCGCGGTTCAGACAGAATTGGAAGGTATCAAGGCTGAGCGAGCTAGTCAGATCCAGGCTGGTCTGGATGTTGAGGACCCTGGAAGCTATCGCGAGTTCGCTGCTCCCTTCCACGAGCAGCTCAAGCAGAACCTTTACCGTGTCTTCCAGCAGTACTGGCGCAGCCCTATTTACATCTATTCCAAGACAGCCTTGTGCTCCCTTGTTGCCCTCTTCATTGGTTTCATCTTCTTCAGAGCCCCCAACTCGATCCAAGGTCTCCAGAACCAGATGTTCGCCATTTTCAACATTTTGACCATCTTCGGCCAAATAGTGCAGCAATCTATGCCGCAATTTGTTATCCAGCGAGATCTTTACGAAGCTCGAGAGCGTCCTTCCAAGGTGTACTCCTGGAAGGTCTTCATGTTATCACAAATCATTGTCGAGCTTCCCTGGAACTCTCTTATGGCTGCTATCATGTATTTCTGCTGGTACTACCCTGTCGGTCTCTACAACAACGCTATCCCTACTGATGCCGTCGCTGAGCGAGGTGCTCTCATGTTCCTGTTCCTGCTTACCTTCCTTCTATTCACTGGTACTTTCTCCACATTGGTCATTGCTGGATTTGATACCGCCGAGAATGGTGCAAACATCGCCAACTTGTTGTTCATGCTTACCCTCCTCTTCTGTGGTGTTCTTGCTGGTCCCGACAGCATGCCTCGATTCTGGATCTTCATGTACAGAGTGTCTCCGTTCACGTATCTAGTCAGTGGTATGCTTTCGACAGCTGTGGCTGGAGCTCCTGTCGAGTGTGCCTCGAACGAGTTCCTCTCCATCACCCCTCCGGATGGCCAAACTTGCCAACAATATCTCAACGACTATATCAATGGTTTGGCGGGCTCCTCTTTGGCCATTGATGCTCCCCACGGCGGTTACCTTGAGAACCCTCTTGCTACTTCGGACTGCCAATTTTGCCCAATGGCATCGACCGATGCGTTCTTGGCCGGGGTCAACATCGACTACAAGGATCGCTACAGGAACTTCGGTATCATGTGGGCATACATAATCTTCAACATCTTTGCTGCCCTTGCGGTTTACTGGTTGGCCCGTATGCCCAAGAAGAGCGGTGTGACGAAGAAGAAGCAGGCCTAATCGGAACAAAAAGAAAGACCAAATAACAAACAAACAAACAAACAAAGACGAATGATGATCGCTATTTCCCGCGAGTTGCAAGTGGTGCATCTTGGATATGTCTTGACAACTCACAATCTCTCACTTTAATGTATCATGGTTTCAGGAGTTTCTCGATAGACGAGCAACCGAAAATGTTCAGGGACTTTCTCCCATTCATACACTTTCACTATATATGTCTCATATTCCTATCTACTAATTTTTCTTCCTTGTCATTCAACACACATATATAGATTACAGTATAATAGAATGCATGCGAGTCTCACACACTCATTGAAAATACAACTAGTTATCAATTACGAGCCTGCTCCTCTTTCCTCTGAGACATATCAATTCCATCCAGCAGTTGATTCTGCATTTGGGCTCTTAGTTTGAACCTGGCAAGGAGCGTTCAATGCCGAGCGAGTCAAGGGTTTTTAGCTCATCTGTCGTGGTGATGTCTGAAGAGCCACATTCTAATAGGTGTCCATGGGCCAGGAAATTGATGCCTGGTGAGCACCTGAGAGGCATGTGAAGCAGCGTGGCAAGCTGGTGGTGATTCAAAATGGTTCCTGGCACGAATCTACGTGAGGACATGTGACCTGGGTGAATACTGGACTGACTTTTATTTGAATTAGCGGATTGTCTAAGATCCTCTACACATGCGCAGAATACATTCCAGCCAGACGACCCTAAACATTCGCCCATCCATCCATTCAAATATGGCCATTGTGAGATCTGTACGCGGAATGCCCCGCCGTTGTTTCCCATCTGAGACAAATATCTTTGCTGTTGATTCAACGTAATCGACACGCGTGATGGCGCCTGACTGCAGAGCAATTCCCCAGCGGCCAGCGGCCCACGCTGCTTCCCAGACACGGAAGGGTTCGGTAGCTTGGCGAGTGGTCACTGTTGGTGCCAGTCTCACCGATCCAGAGGCGTCAACGCGCGTTGGAAACGGTCTAGGTGACCGAACCGTGTCTCGTGACGATGGAAGACGCGTCGAGCGGTGATCGGTTTGTTTGTTTTTGCCTACCTATTGTTGGAATAGGCCCCGAACACGCCCTTCACCCCGCACGAAGTAATCACTAACGGTCATTGCTAAGACTCATCGCCGAGGCTAGTATGATTGTAGATTGGGAGGAGTGTGGTAGGGAGATGGTGGGGTGCCAGCCGGGTGAAGGGTGTTTTTAATTAAAGCTTTGGGATAGGAATGTTGGTGTAGAGGATGGGTAGGACGATATTCACACACGACGATGGCCCAATGGATGAGATCCTGGAGTCAAAAACTAGTCTTTCTGAAGCTGTGATCATCCACGCGTGAACATCGAGTCTCCGATGACCGGAAAGGCCGAGGCGTGGCTCCAAGCTGTCAGGCTTAGATCGAAGATAGATCGAGATTTCTCCCACTAATCATACTTAAGTCGCTCTGGCCGTGTCATCGACGGTGATGGAGTATTCCGTCTTAATAACCGGGGCTGCCAATCTAGTGATCCGTGACGGTTAGGCAGGCGACGGCTCATCGAGGGACGATTACACAAGCAAGACCCGTCTTGGGAGGACGGAGATGTATGCCCGTTTTCGACGGAAAGTAGCTGTGGGCGAAACAGTTGCTCCACGGAAGTGCTGGGATGACCAACCGTTAATCCAGACGAGTTACGTCTGAGGAGCAGGGAAGACCAGCGGACGGTCAGCTCCGTTTGGCCAAACCCTTCTCATCTCTCAAGCGAAATGACGTATTCATGTCGAGGGCCAACATCCATTACGGCAGAAGGGAGAGTTTGCCGTCGCGTGGAATCATCACTCCAAGGGGTGCTAGCCCAGCCAACAGGCAGGCTGTTACCAGCGATCTCGGTGGAATCCCAGTGTAGCGGTAATAAGGACGGGGGCCTTGCCTGCTGGAACCAGTCTGCGGCCGGGGCGAGAGCTAGTGCCTCCAGCAGCTGGGCAAGGTTCTTTCGGCTGCTTATGTTAATTACTATGTACCTTACCTTACCTAGCCCACAGCAAGTCGTTTCCTGGGCGAGGATCGGGCTTTGCATTTTTTTTATGTGCGTCTTGCGTGGTCGCGAGGAGATTGCGCAGTGCCCGCCCCCATCGGATTGGGACCTCAATAACAGCACATCTACCTCTATGCGCGCCCTGCCTATTGACCTGAATCCAAGGCTCCCGGCTGCCCTATGCACTGGCCCTCGCTGGTGTCCTCGTGGCCCCCCCCTCTTGGTCTGGTGTTTGATAGCTGCCAGGAGAACCATCATGCAAGCCCTTCACGTGTCGCGGTGGGGCCACTGACTATTGAAAAGGACTAGCTCCAGGCACAGCGCCATGATTGGGCACGCGGAGAGATGCGGTTGAGCCGTGTGGTGTCCACCTGAAAGGGGAATGAGATGGAGCGATAGGAGGGGGGCGAGTGGGCGGAAGTGGGTGACTGGATAAATTTCTTTTTCGGAGACTTAGGTAAGGTGGGGATGTCCCTGGGTACCTTTCCCAGTCTGAGCCCCTGAGTCGGACTTTCCCATCAGACGAAAAGTGAAAAAGGGGAGTCACGACAGAAAAAGAAGGAAAAAGAAAAAAAGAAGGTGACAAAAGGTCGAAAAGATGCGCCACTACCCTCTCTGGCCATGCTCGGCGGACGGGCCCTCTCCTCTGTCTCATCCCGCCCACAGATAATGCGGCAGAAGATGATCAATCTACGTTGGAATATTCATCCTCAGACAGCATCGGCACCTGCTCACCTGTCTCTTCTGTGATCCTTCTAGCTCCGAGAGAACAAACTCCTATCTGGCTTACAGTCCCGGAAACCCATCTGATTTTATTAATAAATCGGGAATGTGCTCCTTGCCCCATAGTGTCGTTCATGGATGAATAATGGAGGGGCAGGGATAGGCCATGATAACATGGCACAGGCTGAAAGTCCGCCTTGACTAGTTGAGTGCCATATTTCGGCATCTGTATGCTGGCTGCTGGACTCATCCGCCTCGCTATGTAGGGAGACACGGAATAAGAAAAGCGTGCGAGGTTGCATTCTGTGAGTTGCCCCTCAGCTCATTAGGTGGCCTAGTTGAATAGCGGAGAGCATTAATTGCAGGCGGCAAGACGCATTACGGACATGCGCCTGGCTAATAATTCTCCTGTCACATATCATGGTGGCTGCAGGAAGCAAGGAAGTAGCCTGCAGCGACTTGCAGCCATCCGACCAATGTCGTCGCTCGGATCAAGATGGTTGGGGTAATTGGCAGGAGTTTAGACCAAGAGGCGAATGACTCTGAATCAGTAATTATGTCGATGACAATGCCAACCACAGCATTGGTAAGGGGCAATGGGGGGCAAGTGGAATGATGACGGTGGCGGCGCCTTTGACGCCCTGGTGGGTGAAGCGAGAGTCGATGGCGCTCAAGCCCATTTGAGTCTTGGCTGTGACTATTCGCGGTATGCAGGCAGGTGGCCGGCACATCACAGGAGGAGTCGGCGCCGTCCTGGCCAATCTGGCTGTTGGTGCCCTTCCCCATCGGTCCCAATCCGAAGATCTACTTTGCGCCGCCCGCACATCACTTCATGCCATGCCACCCAATGCGCGGCCATCCGCCCTTTAACCCCGTTGTCCTTAATATCCGTAGCCGAGATCATGGCAGCCAACGCTTCGCATCATGTGTATGCAGGTAGGGTGGTGGCTACAGCCAGTCTGATCTGGCTGGTTTGTGATGTGTGTTTTACATGTGCATTCGAAGGAACAGGTGGAATTACCCGTGGTTGAACAGCATTAACACCAAGCCAAAGCGAACGCCCCCGATAGACTAGGTAGGCGATGGGCGAATGATTGGTCACCAAGGAAAAAGAGAGAACAAAGTGCGCATGCGACTGTGCCTATCAGCCAATCCTACGCACTCTCCGCCCCCCTGCAGGGCGACAATGTGGTCGCTGTAGTAGCAATTTAGGATGCCTAACGGCTCCTAGACGTTTTAGCGACAGGGCTAATGCCCCCACCATGAACCCTGCGACATCTCGGTCTCCCGAGGGCATTCATCAGTGTGAGTGGTTGCGTGCTCATAGCGAGATTGATTCGGTTGACCATGTTCGCAGGATGGAGGAGTAGGTTTCTACCTAATGACAGATCCCCTCGTGCGCGAGCGGCTGCCGAAGAAGCTTGGACGCGATGATGGGCATAACCACGCCTCCCTCAGCTATTAATAACCGGCAGAAGATCGCAAGCTCAAGGCATCTTCCACCTAATTTTGGAGCTTCCGAGGCGTATGAGAGGGGATGCCTCGCTCTCGGATGACTGGCTGTCAGTTTGATTCCTCCCTCCTGATGGGAGTCTTACGCCAGCCACCCTGATTTTCGGGAAGCCTCTTAATTGGTAACGGGCACCTTGACCAAAAAGAATTCGAGCTGCAGAGGTGTTTCAACTCGTATGTCTTAGAACAGGCTGAGACGTGCATCGCCCGGGGGCTGCACTCTTTTCGATTAGAATAGGCCATAGGCTCTAAACACCATAGACGGTTCATTCAGGCTCTCCTCCGATAGTGGCAGCTATTACGCACTCGCACGCAGGCACGCGCGCACATATGCAGCAATAGGCGGTATGACCTCTGATGAATGCTGAGAGAATGTCCCACCGAGGCGCGCGCTGGCATGCATAGATATGCATTGCTACATCAGAGCTGGTCCCTTCTCGCTTCTGCATCCGTCACAGCGTACGCACATGTTCAGTTTGGGGTCTATCTCGATTTCTCGATGTCACCTTGCCTCCGCCTAGGCGGAACTCGTACGACGACGGTCAACCTAGCTCGACGCAATTACATGCTGGCCGAGTTGTACTGCAGGGGCGGGCTGGAAGGTGACTGTCTCACAACAGGCAGGTTGATTCACGCTGCACAGAGCGCTGTTCGCTCATTTCATTCGCCGCACAAGGCAAGCGGTTAAGAGGTAGGTAGGTCGTTATCTTGTTCGGGAAGACAGTACAGAGCTCTCTGCCAGAGGGG